TCTGTACTTAGAACTCCCAAGAAGAAATGCAGCCCAGACCCTAATAATGGGCTCAACAGGTAGACATTGGATCAGGCAGTAAATAGATCCAGGAGTGCAACTCACTGATTTGAGTAAAGAAACATCAAGGCTAAGGACAGTTGCTTGCACCCCACTCAGGGAGGCTTTACTCTGACCTGTTCCAGATCAAAGAGGTTGGTCATAAAACTTAAAGGGGAGGCCTGTGTGGGGGTACATGTCTGTAACTCAGCTACTCAGGATGCTGAGGCAAGAGGATCACAAATTCAATGCCAGCCTGGACAACTTAGTGAGATGTTGTGTGTGTGTGTGTGTGTGTGTGTGTGTGTGTGTGTGTGTGTCTGTCTGTCTCTCTCTCTCTCTCTCTTTTTGAGATATTGTCTCAAAATAAAATTTTTAAAAAGGACTGAAAATGTAGTTCCATTGTATAGCCCTTGCCTAGCATGTTCAAGACCCTGAGAAAAAAAAGAGGAAAGCAGAACTTTATTCTTTAATCATCTGCAGATGTGAGATGTTGCACCTTACCTTCTTTATTCACTAACAAATTATTCATGGGACTTTTCAAGTATCTTTTCCTCAGGTCACTTTATTTTATTTTGTATTTTGTATTTTAGGGAAGGGTCTACAGGGTGATCAGGGTCTTACTACTAGATCAGACTCAGTGATCTGCCTGTTTACAGTCTCCCAAGAGCTGGGATTACAGGCACATGCTACCATTCCTAGTCTCTCCTCAGTTCATTTTAAATACAATTGGAGTAAGAAGGAAAAGAGGAGGGAAAGGGACATAGCTCAGCAGCACAGCCTGCTTGGCAAGCACAGGGTCCAAAGTTCAATCCCCACTACCAAACAAGAAGAGGACAACAGGATTCAAATCTGCACTCTCAATTTCCAGACAAATACACAGAATTCATGCCTGGCTACTGGCTCCTGGAAAGCCTCTTCTGTATCGTTGTACAAAAAAAGGAGAATGATATGAGGCAAGTCTAAAGAGGGCTTAGAGCTATTGGTCAGTCCTTCATTTGTGTGACTTTTCCAGCTACTGGATCAGGGTTAACATTAGAGCCCACCAAGCTTCAGGGCTCACAGCAAATCTGCCTTCCAGGCTGAAGACAGCCTCACACTAGAGCACAACATCTTACCAAAGGCTCCTCATTTCACTTCAACATGCAAGAAATTGATCAAACTGGGTAGTTTTCAAGTGCTCCAACTGGACTCCAGGACTCTGTACCCCTCTTGCACTGATACAGAATGAGGAAAAACCACTTTTAATCCCAATATAACTCATTTAAGTGCAAAAGTATAATTTAGGAGTCTTTCATTTCTGTTTAAGGTACATTTGGGACAAGGTGGTCCAAAAGGTGGATCTTATTGGTACTGTATTTGTTCATCGTTTATAAAATTGACCTGAGTGGGGAAAAATCTCATCTCCTAGGGATTGGGCCTAAAAAGGCCTGCTGGCCTGGACTCTACTCTGGGAAAGAAGGAAAAGATGGCAGTGTCCACGTCTTGACTGCCTATCTGCTACTTATGACTGAGAGTGGAGATCAGAGGCAGAAGGTGCTGGCTCAGGGCAGTGCTCAGACAAGGTCTGCTCAGCATCTGCTCTACTTAGCAGGTATCTTGCTCTCCTTGTTCATGAAGTAGTTACAGAAGAATCAGACTTATTAATAGCTAGAGACCAGTACAGGGGGTGTCACCAGAACCTCATCCCTGACTCCCAGTGGAAAGGCGGCTTCCTCAGGGAACCCTCTGCCCTGCCTGAGCCATCCTTGCGCACGACCTTACCACTCTATTGTCATTGACAAACCAAGCAAAAGCAGGACCTATAGCTGTTCTAGTCAATACTGCACTGCCAACGTCTACCATGGCCTGAAGAGAGCATGATGAATGAACAAAATGAATGCTAAGCTGCATAATAAATGCTTCAATTAATGTATGAATTTATAAAAAGAAAGCAGAGTTAAAGGGTAAACGATTAATGGATGACTTGAAATGTTGTTAATGGGAGCACAGCAGGGTCTGGTTCTAGCTCCTCAGGATGGCTAGGATCTGGACCAGAGACCGAAGATCCTTGGAAGTCTCTGTGTCTCTGTCTCTGTCTCTGTCTCTGTCTCTGTCTGTCTGTCTGTCTGTCTGTCTGTCTGTCTGTCTGTCTCTCTCATCTGTCTGTCTGTTTCTCTCACAGCCGCAAAGACAAACTAACCTCTGCCTAGGCACCAAGCTCTTTACACCACCCTCCAGCTTTGGCTCTTCCCACATAACCCAAAGTATAGACAGCGGGCCTGGGACAAGAATCCCTCATCACGCACATTAGCAGGAATCTAGCTCTACTACATGACACAGATCCACACAAAGAAAGGACAGAGGCTCCAGGCCCAAACCAAAGTTCTCTGTGGCACAGAACTAAGAACTAAAAGCCTGCTCATTGTGGAGCACAGTGGTGCCTGCTTGTAATCCCAGCATTATCAGAGGCTGAGGCAGGAGGATTACCAATTTAAGCCTAGCCTAGGCAACTTAGCAAGAAACTGCCTCAAAGTTTAAAGGGGTTGGGACTGGAGTGAGGATGTAGATCAGTGCAGTGACCTGATCTGAGTTCACCACCAAAAAATAAGAGAAAAAAAAGAGCCTGCTCACTATTCTAATGGCTCTAGGTCAAAAGCCTCAGAGTGAAGGAAACTTGCTAATGCATTCATTACTGGAAACAAAGGAGAGAGCCATTCATCCGAGAGAAAGAGGGAGATTCTGCTAACCTATATTGGCTCCTGTAGAGAGGCGCTTTTGGTCACTCCATTTAGTTGTGCTAGAAGCTTCCATGCCTGTTCAGGAAGGATCAGACAGCCCAGCAGCGCTGAGTCTCACTCAGCTGAGCCCTGTGCTATCTTTTGTGATGATGCTGCCCATGCTCAACGAGACGGCCATAACTGTGCCACCCCAGCTTTAACCTTGCCCTTCCTTTTTGGCTCAGTCCTAAAATATGACCTAAAACACATTGGCCACAAGTAAATGGCATACATTATGTACATCTCTAGATCTTCAAGGTCAAGACACATGTCTCATGAAAAACATTTCCACCTTTCCCTTCTTATCCTCTCCCACACTTGCTGTGGCAGGTGGCCTGGATATGATTCACCTCATTTGACTAACTGGGCAATGAGGTGTGGTCATGGCCACACAAGAGACAGCTAAGAACCCATAGTGGACGGTTCTCAGCAGAGCACTCTTCCTCCCTGCAGAGCCCCCAGCTGGACCACTCACTGTAGCAGCCACCTTTCCAGAGGACAGGTGGGGTATGTGCTGACTTACTCAGTGCAAGCTCTTTGAATTCTGGGAGGCTGGCAGCAGCACAGAGCTGGTAAAAGATGTGGTAATTCCGCTCATCATCTGCCTGCAGAAGGAAAGGGCAAAAAACGAGTTTTAGAACAGTGATATCCAAGATCGTCATCTTGTCCACGCTGATCTCAAGTGTCTGGGTGGCAAGAGCCAAGTCCAGCACTTTTCCCATTTCTGCCACACCCCTGCATCTTCAATTTCCACTGCCAGGTTTTCAGCTCTATGATGAGGTCTTCTTCCAACTTGAGGGTATTTATTTCTTCACTTATACAAAAGCATTATGTTCTTTTTGTCTTTCTATAGAGAACATCATTGTCAGCCCAGGAATATTGGGTCAGCCAATCAGCAAATACTTACCCATGCTGCTTGACTATCATGTTCTACAGATTGCAGTTTCCCCACTGTGATCTCCCTTTCCCCTCTGGGAGGCTTGGTGCTAAGTGACTGCTGAGCCTGCTCATCATGTCGGGCTATGCAGTCAGGGAAGGGCCACACTGAGAGAGGACTTCTAGTGGAGACCTGGGGCCAGCCTGGCTGACTGGTGGTGGTTAGTGGTAGAGATTCGAGAAGTCTGAACAAAGACAGCAAAGGAAGAGGAAACCTCAAGAAAGAGTTTCTGGGAAGGAGATACGTCAGGCTCATACCCAACACAGCAGACTGCTCCCTTTGCTCCAGTAAAATAAAGGACATGGGGTGACCAAACTAACACATGAGGTGCACAGCAAATCTGGGCAAAAGGGGGCTAAAACATTCATTAGACATTTTCCAAGCATTACCATAGAGCCGTCACCAAGAAATAAGACAAACTACAGGAAGAAGGAGAGCAAAGGAAAGCAGCAGACAAGACCAAAGTTGGGGAAGAAGTGAGGACTCCATTTACTTGAAAATTAAGGATGAATGTGTGTGTGTGCATGTCTGGTTGCACACATATATACCTTTATAAAAATTTTAATTTATCAAGTAAAAGGGCTCACAGGAGAGCAGAAAGCATAGTCTGCCTCTGCCTGAAGGAATGTCTTGTTCTTTACTCCATCTCTGGGTTAACACACAACAGGCCCTCACTACTGCATATACTCATTGACTGAATCAAAGCAACATTGTATAAAAGGTTCTTGAGTACTGATACCTATTACATCTGAATAAATACCCATAATGAAAGAAAAGGAAAAAAAAAAAAAGGCAAAAGAATGAGTAGTACATTCAACTCCAGCCTCAAAAGACAAGTTGCTCTTTGGGCACAGGGAGCAGGTCAGAGAGAAACAAGGGAGGCCTCGTCCAGAGAATGAAATGTAAAAAGGGACCACGTCCTCCTGCTCACCTGGAAGACCACCCTTGACTTCTCCAGCAGGTAGGTCCGCATGTTGGCTCCAATGATGTGGTACCTTTTGTCAAAGCCGATCTGAATATACTTCCCAAAGCGACTGCTATTGTCATTGCGAGTGGTCTTGGCATTCCCAATGGCCTGGACAAAGCCAAGAACAATGGGAAGGTTAGTAAAATGACTAGGGCTTTTCTCATTTCATGTCTATAGGTTTCTGGCAGCAATGTCTCCCTTCTCCCCCTCCCTGCTCCTCATTTTCTGAATCCCTCTGCTATCATGATGGCAATGGGCAGACACAAAAATTCTTTAGCTTCCTTGAGCCAAAACAGAATTCCATTATTGTGCTTTCTTTACTCCTAAGCGTGGCTGCTGAGAGTAATGAGTTGGTTAATGGGCTCCTTAAAGGAGACTAACCAACTAAAAGATGTACTTCATTATCTCTGCATTCTTCTTCCTCTTCCTGGAATACACATGTGATGGCTCTAGTTATAGCAGTTGGTTTGCACCTAAAGCCCTCAACTGGAGTTGCAATATATTTTTATTTTAGGTTGAAATGTATAAAGCAACTTACAGCAGAGACACAGTGCGCTCTTCTGCAGGAGGTGGGGGTACGCAAACTGCACCTTAGTGCTTAGAACACATACAAGGTCAGGGCCAGGCTAGAGTTCAACCAGGCTAATGTGATTCTCCAAGAGACACCTCATCTGTGGAGCTTGTGTCTTACCCCACCTTCAACAAGTCAAGGAAGCACTCCCTCAACACCTCAGTATCTCAGCAGAGGCTTCAGTGTACCATTTCTCATCAAGAGACAGAGGTTTGACCACTGAAAGTCTGCAGGACAAGAGCAGACTCACACTTCAGCAAGCCGGTTCTGTTTGGGAATTAAAGAGCGAAGCTACATTCCCTAAAATGTTGGCAGAAGCATTTCCCAAGCCTCCAACACAGGACAGACTTTGGATGGGCCCCCTTATCTTAGTTAATCCTAGTAAGAATCCAATGTGATAAACATTATCATCTTTCATCATACTTATGGAAAAATTTAGGCTCAAGGAATATGCTCAAGGCAACATGTCTGGGAAGTGGCTGTGACAGGACACACTCAGAAACGCCTGGGTCCAAAGCTGGCACTCACTCTACACAGTGTCTCCACCATCACACCAGAAAGGAAGCTGCCACACTCTCAAGTAACTTCTCACAGCTCAGATGGCCAAGTTGAACCAAGGTAAAACAGAAATAGCATTCGTGGCTTTTACCTTTTTTAATGAAGGAGGTTGATTCTCAGAACATACTGGGGAAACCAACTCATTTTGAAACTAGTAAGAATCCAACATCTGCCTTAACTTTCCTAGGTAAACTACATCCCAGAGTAACTAAATGGTTGGTGGGGGAAAGCTTCCCTCATAGATTTATTCAAGCTAATAAGCACAGGGGGAATAATAGCATCTTGTAATAACCATCTTGTAACCTCTGTTAATAGATGCCAACATTACAGAAGCAAACCAGATAATTTTGCACCTCCTGATGCAAGCCCACAGAACCACATATAAGGATTTCTGATTTAAAACACTAAACAAACCTGTAAATTTTACTATTCTTTACAGAACATACAGCGGTGAAGGAACATTTAAATATTGCCACGAGGATACAACCAACAAAGCCCAAGTTGCGGACCATTTGAAAGGACAATTTAGTTTCTATAATTTTCAATTTCAAAATTCTACTTTGACATTTCAAAAACATTCAAATGTCTTAAATTTTTCAAATTTCAGCAAGATACTTTGTCATTTCTGAGTCATTCCTTGGGAAAAGTTAGGAAAGCCTTGCCCAGGGTGTTATGATCACTGCCAGAAGATCGATCTTTTCACCTCATGAGGCTACCTTGCCAAGTGATATGCTGGGTCGAAAGGCACTAAAACAACCACTCTGAAGAGTAGCTGGGCATAGCTGCTAAAATCGAATGTGCATATGTCTAATAATCTCCCACATTACTTCTGGATCTTACAAGTCCTCCCAGAAGTGCACAAGTGAGCATGCATAAGAATTTTCAATAATTCTTGTTAAACAGACCATGTTTAACAATAAAAATAAAATTAAAATGCATACCAGTGGGGGAAACAGATAAATAAAATGCAGTCTACAATGGAATACTATCAAGCTGTTAATAGTAATAAAATACAGCACAGCTTGTGGTTTAAAAGAAGTTGAGTAAGAAGAAGCTGTGAAAATAGTTGACGGACTATGATACAAATTTATACAGAACAACAAAGTAAGCTTGTGTTTGATGCACACAGAAATACATGGTAAAAGAAAAATGGACAGAATAATTTCAATGCAACCTGATTGTACAATAAAGAGGTACACACCAAGCAATACAAAACCACAGAGAAGGGAGCAATTAGTCCTGATCCACAGAATAGGAAAGGCCTTAAGATGTGATTTTTTTTTTTTTTTTTGCAGAACTGGGGATTGAACTCAGGCCCTTGCACTTGCCAGGCAGGCAAAGATATGAAAATTGAAGAGAATCAAAGTGAATAATTATGCAGCCAGAAACATGAAAAAATTTTACGTATGAATACAGCATGGATAAAGTGACAAGAAGGGGCTAGCATGTGCTGGTGAATGGGAGAACCCAAGAGATGAAATGATAAGGTGTGTGGGGTTGGATTATTAGTACATGAATGGGCTACTAATAGCAGTTTTTCTGACTTACCTTTAAAAACAAACCCAAACCCTGGAAATTACCTCTGGTCTTGGTTTCTACCATTTTTTTTTGTTACTGTATTCCCACCCCCTTTCCTGCCAGCAGGAGGAGGTTTTGTGGCTTTGGAAGCCCACAGACTTCTATCATCCCAATAATCATGTGACCTTCTGGTCTGAACTTGGATTCTATCCCCTCTCCATGGTCTTTTGATTAGCAATCAGTGCAGATGAGTGAACAAATCACTCCTGGGATGTTGACAAGTTCTCAAGCACAATGGGGTCGGGCAGAGCTGGCACCAACAATAAATCAGTCTAATCCACCTCAGCCAATCCCAGTCCATTGTGGAACTACCTTAATTCCAACAACTGCCACTTAGTGCAGCCTGCTGGGAATTCCCCCTGCTAAGAGGGCCTCGGCCCTTGGTCTCCCCAGGAGGTGTCTGCAGTTGCTAGGCTTCTTCAGAAGCAAGGAGATGATGACACAAACAGAAGTGCTTGCTTCATGGGGAAGTGTCACCCTGCCCATGACAGAAGCAGATTAATCAGTAATCAGCTGTCCCTGATTAAGACATGCCTCTGTTGGTTACAACTGTCTGAGGAACCACAAGCTAACAGCTTCCCAATACAAGAGTTCAGCTAGATTCAGAACTTTACAAAGTTGTGTTTTCAGACTTTGGCAGTGCAAAAGTCTCACATCCTTATCTCCATGTTCACATTCAAGCCTTTTCTCAGAGATAACAACAGCTAAAGAGGTAGTGTTTTCAATGGAAAAATTGTGCATTTGACAGACAACCCACAGTTAGCAATCTGTACAAAGCAGATAATTAATACATTTATTTATATAAGTATGTAAATTAGACTGGTCTATGTACAGCATGTGTGTTTTGGGGCATGCATGTTGCTCTCACATTTCTCTCATGCCAAAGCCCCCTGCTTGGAAGGTGAAGGTTACCAGCCCTCTTGGGCCCTAATAGATACTACAAAATCTAGATAAGTTCTAACCACTGTAATTTTAAAAGTATTCTCAAGCAGGGACTCAAACAAAAATGTGCACACCAGTGTCCAAAGCAGCACTATTTATGACATCCAAAAGGTGAAAATGACCCAAATGCCATCAGAAGGATAAATAGAATGTGGTTCTGCATACAATGAAATATTATCCATCCATAAAAAAGAATAGTATACTGATACATGTTAAAACATGGATGAACCTTGAAACACAAGACTATGTTAAATATGCCAAACCCAAAAGAACTCATGATTCCACTTGTATGAGTTCTCTAGATTAGTTAAATTCAAAGACAGGAAGTTTAAAACAGGTTACCAGGGAGAGACTAGGTGGTGGCAATGCCATACAAACACTGTGAATATATTTAATGCCACTGGATTGAACACATTTTACTATAATAAAAAATATTTTTAAAACATTCCCCTTATGTCTTAGTAATATGGTGCCCTGCCTTCCCTAAATCCCCAATATTACTAATAATGTCTTTGTTCAGTCAGCAAGTCTCAAGGGTTTCTTCTAGTGTCTTTTGCCTAGAAGAACTACTTATTTTTAAAGGAAGGACCCAGGGTCTCTGAAATCTCACTACCTAAAAGATGAGCACAATTTTGAAATTCAAGAGCAAAGCAGAACGCCTGCTTTCATTTGTAGTTGAGGTACAACCCAGTATTAACTGTAGAGTACTTTCCTAGTTGCCTTAATGTAGGGACACAGATGAGCTTATGAAGGCTAAGGCCATGGCCCACAAGTGCCTTCTGAATTGCAGCCCTGGCTGGGGTCCAACGTTGGGGCTTAGAATAAACACTGTGTAATCAGTCTGCTACCAAATTTGGACTGTGGAGAGTCAAATTATAGCAAAGACATTTATTAATCCATCTTTTTAGCCAACAAAACAATTCATAAAAAGTTTAGGGATATAGAGACAAAGAATATGCTATAATATTGAGGGAAGAAGCATAAAGAAAATAAACCAAAATATTGAATGATTGTCAATAGGCTATACAGTGATGGTGAACCTTTTAGCACTTCCAGTGATATTAAACAGCCTGCTGCAGCACGTATGCCATAAGTTTGCTACCACTACAATAGTATCACTGGGAATTCTTTCATTCTTTCCTATTTTCTAGTGATCGCCTCATATCTTAATAGTTTAATGATTTTGCAAATAAGTACTCAGACCAGCAGCATCTCTTTCACACAGGAATCTAAGAGACATACAAATTATTGGGCACCTTCTCAGGCCTTGTGAATCAAACTCTGCATGGGGACATTGAGAAGCTAAGCTGTAACAAGCCTCCAGGCAGTTCTTAGGTACCCTACTGTTTGAGAAACACTGCAATACATGCAAGTGTTTCTTTATATTTGGCAAAAATATCCTCACTTATATTGGCCATTTCTTAATTTATATAAAACATTAAACTTTGCTTTTGTTGAATTCTTACAGAATAGGTAGTATCCTATTACTCCACACAGAAAAGCTTTTCAGATAATTTAACTCTGAAGCTAGGCGATTCTGCTTGAATATTCAATAAACTCATATGATCTGAGACTCAGCCTTTACTCCTGCATTTGGTAAAGGAAGAGGAGGACAGAAGAGGCTGGGGACAATCAAGGTAATTTCTTAGTCTAAAATAACTTGAAAGAGCAACTACCACAGTGAGTTGATTTGGCTCAGAACTCTCAGATAAACCAGATGTGATCCTGACAGCTTGCAGTATCAAACAGACTTTTTCTGAATAAAACAAAGGGGTTGCCCAGGGCTGGAAGAGCACCCCTAACCAGACTGTAATAATGACAGGCAATAATGACAAGACTTGGCTTCAGCTTGGCTCAGGAGCTGTGAAGAGAGAGAGGGGAGGGGGAAAAAGGGGGGGAGGAAAAGAGGGAGGGAGGGAAAGAGGGAGAGAGAAAGAGATAGACAGAGACAGAAACAGAGAGACAGACAGACATAGAGGGGGAGAGAGATAGACAGAGACAGAGACAGAGAACAACTTCTTGATACTAAAACACAGTTATAGCAAGACCTAATCTCTAGGAAATTCTCTAGCCCTACACTTAAGTCAACTTTTTTCACCTACCAAGTCCCAAGCCCTCTCCTGAAGCCCTAGCTGACTTGGGTAAGGGAAAAGACACAGACAGGACCTACTCCAGGCAGTTCACACCATCATAGGTAACTTTATGAGGATCTTTGACTGATACTGTTATCAATACGCGTTGTGGCTCTACCTCCCAAAGACAACATGTCCAAATACTTTTGGGGGAGAAAAAGAATACTCCATCTAGGTTTCTCTCCATCCCCATGCAAAATGCCCTCCTGCCTTAGTGGACCCTTAAGCTATTTGGTAGTTTTGATGAACTGCTGACTTTCTGACACATGAGAGCAGCAGGCCGGGAAACCTCAGCAGACATGGCAGCATCATTCCACAGCAGAAGGACATCATTGCAGACAGCAGAATCCAGGGACACAGAAAGTGTGATTTGGATCCTTACCACAAATTAATAGCTATTTTACCCATTTTTCTGGGAAGCTTATAGTCAGGCTGATGGCCAACGCTATGCCCCTTTGTGAGGTACCTTTGTGAACAGAAATGTCTAAATATGTGTCTGCGGTATCCCAGGCTCACCCCACCCCACCCAATGCTGGGACCCTAAAGGACACTAGCAGGTCAGAACAGCCTCACATCTGAATTCACAGCCAAGGGCCTGCCAGGGAGAGGTGTGAATGCTGCCGATGCAAGCTGCTCTGAGGAGTCTGTGAGCAGTCATACCAGATGTGACACCCAGAAGGCTGGCTGCCAGGAGAAGGAACTCCAGCCAGGAAGACTTTACCTCCATGATGGGACTGGATGCCAGGACCTTCTCTTCAATGTTGGTCTCACTGGCTGAGCCCCCGACTGTGGCGAAATAGCGCATGGCATACTTGGCTGACACTGTCTTCCCAGCTCCAGACTCCCCGCTCACTATGATGGACTGGTTCTTCTCATCCCTGGAAGGGAAACGTCTCTGGTCAGTCACTGGCCATGGAAAAGATCTGTTACATCTCAGAGACTGTCTGACAAGGAGCTGAATCTGATTAGAGAAGTACCTCTCCTATTTGAGGGAATAAATATAGACAACAGTGTGAACGCAGTCTGCCAGCCTTCACTGGCCCACATAAGATCAGACTGTGAGAGGAAGAAAGCAGCTCTAAGCAGGGCTTACAAGTGGGACATGCCCCTTCACCACCACAGGAAGGGAAATGTAGATGGTGGATCACGCTCACCAGTTCTCCCCGAGTGCAGGCCCCACCATCACGCCTTGCACCCATCTCAAGGACTTGCACAGACACTTTCAGTTACATAAGTTCTCCTTCATTTCGCTAACATTCCCATACCGTGCCACTCCATAAACTAGTTTCTTCAAGAACAAGGATCTTTCCTTCTCTTACAGTGAGCCTTGGATGCCACAGACACATATTTAGACATTACTGTTCACAAAGGTACATCACAATGCCGTTGGCCATCATCTTGACCGCAGGCTTCCCAGAAAAATGGGTAAAATAGCTATTAATTTGCAGTAAGGATCCAAATCAGACTAAATGGAAGGTAGACAGAAGCAGCATGTATTAGTTAAAATGCATGTATATTTGCCCTTTTAAATTGAGTAGGAAGAAAGACAGGTGATAGAAAGATCAGTCCGACACAGGTGGATGTTCAAAGTAGAGGGATGATGAACATTTAGGAAGTAAACTCTGTGTGAAGGCTGGACTCAACCACTCCCCCTCTCATTCACAAACCTTCCACTATGAGTGTAAGCACTTTGCTTTGAATGCCTGATGCCAGGTACAGGGCCTGGAACAAAGTATATGGTCAATATCTACTGTTAGACTCGAGACAAATTAGGGTTCAACTAGGGCTCTTTTCTAAATGAAGTCAGGTTTAGAACTCAGGACTCCTGGCACTAACCTAGGATACCTCCAGCCAGCTTCTGTGACTTCCTAGGTGGAGTAAGCTAGACAGAACCATGGAAGGCCTGCCCTGCCTTGCTAGTTAACACAGGTTGGCTGTGGATTATCAGCAGAAGTGAATGTCAGCTTCTCTTCTGAGCTAGGCCAACACCCAAGACGATGGAAATGTGGAGCGATGACAGAAGGGTATCTTTCTAATTTGAGGTGGACTAGACAGAAAAGTATCCAACTGGAGATGGAAGCATGAGGAGAAGAGTCACATGTGGGGACCTGGCTGAAGCAGCCTCATCTGCGAGGCATTCTTCAGAGTCAGCAAGGAGCTGGGTTGTCTCAGCTCACATGAAGATGAGCAAGGGGAAGAAACTGGGATGGCCTTAAGTAGCTAGCAGATGATGTTGAAAAGAGGAAGCTGAGAAAACCTACACATTCCAAGTTGACCATCCGGCCAATTCTTTGGAAATGTATGTATACTCCTACCTCTTGTACTTGGGAGATGAAAGTACAAGCACTTTCTAAGAGCCCCTATACTTCTGAGAAAGCACTGATGTTATCAGAGCATCTGCGTCTTCTCAGCTTCTCTCTCTTTTTTTTTAAATGGCAGAACCAGGGATTGAACTCAGACCCTTGCACTTGCCAGGGAAGTGTTTATTCCACTGAGCCATCTCCCCAGCCCCTTCCCCCCTTTTTTCTCTCAGCTTCTCTTGTGACATCTTTACACAGAAAGGTGGCCTGTAAACATGCCTGTGAGAGCTGATATTTTCCATTCTCATTTGTAATCTAATTTTGGTATCATATCTATTGGACCCAAGAGATGACAGGTGTTACTTCTGCTCTCAATACATTTACTGTCAAGTGCTTAGAGAACTGCTTAGAAGCAATAGCTAGTACAGATGAGTAAGAGCATAGCAGGCTGGACTTTACACCTCTGAAATGGACAAGTTGGACAGCATGTTAAAAGCTCCTTGTGTATCTGCAATGAGGAAAACTGAACTATAACCATCACACTCAAATGTTTGTGGAGTTTCACTCAGTCTGTGGGTCTGACCTCAAATAAGTGGATGTGTTTGGAATGTGATTAAGACTTAGCCCTCAGCAAAGATCCATTTAGAGTGGAGAGGTACTACTGGATCCCAGGATTCCTGGGAAGCAACATGAAGACATCAAGAGGCACAAAGATGAAAATATCAGGAGATTGGGATGGGGAAGGTGCTACCAGGATCCCTTTGGTAAGTATCACACACAGGAGATTGGACTGCCAGGAAGCCAAACTAGCCTGTCACACTTTGCGAAGACAAGACATGAACCAGAGACCTTGCCACTTTTCACTCACTGTGTCAAGTTTGCATTGTGCTGCACATCACTGGGGAATGACTGAAAGGCCATGCACTGCTCAGGAGAGAGACTCATATAACAGGTAAAAAAGTCCAGAGAGTCAGCAGACTATTCTGAACATAAGTGGCCAGCCAGGAAGTTAGAAAACAAAGTGCTAAGTTTATGTGACAGAAGTATCAAGAATTCAAAAGGACAAGGAATTAGAGCAGGGAAACAATAAGATGAGGTAAATACTTGGAGAAAATGGTATCAGGAGTTTTAAGTTTTATAACTGCAAGTTTTAGAATACTTTGCCTTTGGCTCTTTCTTGAAGAGCAAGTATAGGAAATAGCCATAAGCACTAGCCCCTAATTTAACTGATATTGAGGTGACACAGGTAAGCTAAACTTAGAGACATTTGCCTTAGACTAGTGATGGTGAACCTTTTAGAGTTTTCATGATGCAAACAGCCCAATGCAGCACCCATGCCGGAGGTCTATCACCACTGCCTTAGACCAATAGTACCTTCCTAGGGGAGAAAAACTTCCCTAATTTAGATTGATGTAAAATGTATGGGAACACTGATCATTTTTAGTGCAGTTGCACTTCTTTAGCTCTACTACACTTCTTAGGCACAGACCACACAATCACACCCCTGGACTAGTGCCAGGCTAAGTGCACATCAGTGTGTAACAGCCCTTAAGGGACAAGAATCAACAGCACCCTCAACCTTGTCCTATATGTGAGCTTTTCTTCCAGCTCATTAGACAACTGGCATCCAAAACACGGGCACTGGACCGTAGCTGCAGCACTGATTAGCTACCTTACTCTGGAAAAAGTAGTTAACTTGTTTGACCTTCAGACTCCCTCACTGTGGTCTCTTAGGACTTTTTGATCCCTAAAGCCTAAGCTCTTCTAGTTCCCTTGATTGAGGCCCCAGGATCTCTAGTTCATCCTGATCTGGCATCCTGACCCCTGCCAGATCAAATTTCTAAAGCCCAGCTCTAGTTAAGTTTTTGTACTGCAAGCATGTACAAAAAAGAAAAAAAAAAGTGAAAAAGAGAAAGAAAGCAAGGGGATCAAGAGATGGGGAAGATGGGGAAAGGAAGAGAAAGGAGATGTAAAAAGGTATTAAAGTAGTCCATGTACTGGTCCAACTTCCCACAATTAATGTAAACAGTTTAGATTGCACCAATAAAAAATAAAGTTGTTAAATTAAGTAAAAATTTATAAAATAAAAATTAAATAAAATTAGATAGCCATTCATTACTGATGAGGTACAAAATTCTTAGCAGTTGAATCCCTTTACAAAGCAAAAATAACCATTTTTCAGTCATTTGCCTAAGATCAAGTGTAGTAGCTCTTCTTATCAGTTTACTAGAACGTATAATGCTGAACCCCTTGACGGATACTGGGCAAACTGAAAAACACTGGGTCTGTCTAGCAGTTTCTGACACTGATGGACTTTGTAAGCCACTTAATCACACTGTAGAGAAAACTTTACATCCTATATGTTTGCTTAAAGGTTACATGAGAAGACTCTATACTTCTCATAAGATCAGAATTTTATGGTTCAGCTGCACTGGACTAGTCTGAAGAGTGCATCTTTCACACCATCACTGCCTACGATATTCCCTCTACTTGAAGCCATACGACTTTCTCCTGAAGTCCTGCTCACCTCCAGCACCAGGACAGTCTGTCTTGACTCCCTACCACAGGGAAGATAATGATTTCTCCATCTCTAGTCTCACATCACTCACTTTGTGTGTCTCTAAAAACACCATCACTTTTCACTTTATATTAATGCCAGTCCCTGCATGATTGTTTTACTTGTTGTATTACTCTGGGTTGTATCCTTCTTCTAGCCTTCTATCTTTTTATCTCAAAGTAGTGTTATGCCTTGGACTTCTCAAGTGATCTTGTCTTCTGACATTCTGTAAGGCCATTACTAAAATCCTAATAGGAAACATGAGTAAGGAAAAGGTCTTTGTTCCAAATTTCAGGTATTTGGGGTTGGTTTTGAGAAACACTTTATAAGTATCAAAAACCTACCCAATGTCCTTCAGAAGTATAGACAATGTGTGGCTCCATTTATTCAGCCTAATTATAAAGATGTTGTAGCAGGCAATTTGGGTCAATCTGTTTTCTAATAAACCCCATTCTCTTAAGCTGGGTGAAATTCCTTTCAGAGAAGAAAACCATGATCAAGAAATTTAATGGCTAGCTGTTATTCAGGTTCAGCTGCGTTCAATAAGTCACACATCACTGCAAACAGGAAGGGCCTCGAAGGTCTGTGCCCCCAACAGGAGCACAAGATTCCCAGATTAGATAGCCAGCCATTCTGCAGCTTCCAGGGAAGATACCAGACCCCAGACATCAGTGCATGGGTGCACACACACTAACTACCCCCCACCCAGTCATACTGGGCCTCTGTAGCAACTGAGTAGTAAGATTTGATTTTTCTAAACCACTCTATTCCTCCAGCAAAAGTTTCCCACTGAACCATTCTAACACTTTAAGCTCATGAGCAAGATCAACCCACCCTTCCCCCTTCTGGGTGGAGCCACTTGGAAAGGAAAATACACAGGTAGCTGTTGAGTACCTGAGATCTCTCTACCCCAAAGGAGAGTGCCACTGATCAGCCAGGGAGTCACTTGATGAGTTCTGTTTTAATAAGAAACCCTGCTGAAGTGTTGTCTTGTTTGCACTTCCTGCAAGCAGGGATTTGC